TGCGACTTTTGCGCTTTGTGCGATCAAGAGACTTTCTCTCTCTCGCTCGCTCAGCTCGCGCGAGGATTCCGAAATCGATTAAATGCAAACTTACGCGTGCTATGTAAGCAGCGACTTCGAACTCTGCGTCTTGGGAGAGATAATAATTTCAAGATCTATGATGCGTGTGGTACAAACTCGTAAGCGGCAAAATCTTTTTAAATAAAAAAATCAAAAATATCGACAGTCCTGCTTGCGAACGCGGCAAATTTTCCTCCGTCGATCGTACGTAATCGTTACACGGCGAGTCGATAATTTAAATTCTGAAAATTATTATCTGTCTCGGATGAATCCAATTAACGACTGGCTAACCATGAAAAACCCGCGCTCCAACGTTTGAGATGCATCCAATTGCATCCACGCTCTACATACAAAGCGTAGCGCCACGCGGCGATCGAGGCACTCGAATTTAACGTCGTCATTTTGGGAGAGACACAAGATACTATATATAAGCGTTGGTGCGCTACGCGAGACTGGTTAAAGTTTGACTTGTCCATTAAAGCGAGCTTGCGCCCAATAAAGGGTCCGCGATGCCATAATGTATACATAGAAGCAGACCGTAGCTAACGAGTTCGTTTCTCGGATGCGACGTGTATAAGGAACTTGGTCCGAGAAGCTCACGAGCCAATCGGTCGCGTCTCGCGACTATCCGACGACAGACGCAGATTCGTTGTGTATTCTCGTCGTATCACCACCTCCAGCAGTCATTGCCTCGGCAGACTAAGATATTCGGGTGGTTATAGTGTCACCTCGAACTTGCCCTGCTATATAAGTATTTAAAAAAAAAGACCCGATTGAGCTGCTGCTGTTGTCGCGTCGAGCAAAGGTCTCTCTCTGTGTTTGTTTGCAGGCGGGCATTTCTGTATCGTCAAGTAGTAGGCGTGTGCTTTGAACTCAAAAGAAAATTCGTCGAGGTATATATACCGCGGCCTTACGCCACGATGCGTACACATCCCATGGGACGTCTATCTCGGTGCCATGTTTATATATAAAGTAAATCAGTCTCAATACGCCCCGCTGCGAGGTCCTTTGTTGCGGCGATTCGGTCCTTTATTTGACTCGGTCAGTCGCGCGCGCACGCAGCTCCGAATTCATTGAGAATCGAACTGTAAAGACGAAGAGCTTATATATTTTGTTGTGCGATTGGCCAATAGAATCAGCTCATAGTCGTAGTTTGAAAGATATACCTCGCGATACGCGCGCCATGATACGTACTTTTATTTTTTATTTTTTATACAGTCAACGATTCGCGTTGAGTCCAAGTACAAAAGAAATGAAGAATTCGTGGGTACGATAAAAGTGATATTAACTCGAACTTATTAGAGCAATGACCCCGCAGTTTTTTTAGTCGATTCGAGAGCTATACGGTATATAATGCGAAGCGGTCGAGGAGCGATACAATAACCCACTTGAGATCGTTCGGATATAGACGAAAATATTTATTTAACGATAAATGCAGACGCTTCTTGACCGCGATGAAAAAAAAAACAACAACAAAAAACAAACGCAAGCATCGATCCGAATCAACGTGTGCACACACGTACGCTGCAGTGCGGATTTTTCACCATCATAACGAGCATTTGAAGCTGAACACTGCTATATATTCTCCAGCACGTTGTGTATACAGAGAGCGAGAGATAAGTACCGGCCGCAAAAGAGATACATCGAATCTGGTTTTTCACGGCCTGTTATAATATATATAAATAAATGGCAAGCGCGTAGGTGGACCGGCGCGTGCAGGTGTGATCGCCTGAACCCGAACTCGTTCTATACTCACGTATATTTATGCGATGCGATGCTGCATCGAGCTCGACTAAAATTCATTCGCACACCGTATTTGTATAATATTTCTATGCGGTATACATCGGCACACATTGGTGCGCATATAATATACGTGAAATATATATATAGAAAATATGAATTATAGATGAGAGCGATATTAAAACCATGAAGTCGATGTCGCTGCATCGTGTCGTGGTCGTGGTAGTCACATCGTCGTCGTCGTTACCGCGAACGCGATGAAATCGACGTCGATTTGTTGGGTGATCGATGAGTATTGCCGCCGGCGCTGCACATCGAGGTTTTACGTATCATTGAATGCTCGCTAAAATATACATCTAATATACAAACACGCACTGCGCATTCGAAGCCGCTTATCTATATTTATGAATAAAGCCGCGGTGATTGGCAAATTCGCGACGATGCTGCCGCGGAGATCTGACTCGCGCGCAGCTCTCGCTTCATACACTATGTGCATGCGCGAATCCGTATTATATGTTTTATAAATGTATTACGCGCGATGATTTCGATGCGATTTATAAATTCAAGTATGCATACGGACTGTACGGACGCTCGAGCGGAAGCGTACGTATGCAAATGTGCAGCGTGTATTATCTATATCGCGCCCGGTTATCGTTGAAAATCATCATCCGCGATATATTTTATTGAGGCGCTTCGGGAATATAGCTCGAGACGGTGCTGCATCTCTCTGACTCTATTTCGCGTACCAGGTATATAACGTGCGCGCGTGCGATAGGGAAATCTCCTAGTTTGGCAATAAGACGAGCTCGCGCGCGATTATCTTATCGAATCGTAAATTTTAAATTTTATATTCTCGTGGTGGTTTTTAAACGTATGTGCGCGGCGTTTTTCCAATGCTAATTTTTAATTCCCTCCTTTTCATATGTATAAAATAATACGAACGGGACGCGCGAGATCATCGCGAAAGCCGATATACCTACGTAATGCGTGAGATGCGAGCAATATAATGAGATCGAGAATCTCCGCGAGAAGAGGAGGCAGCTTTAATTTGGCTCCGATTTATGAGGCAGTGCAGTGCAGTACTTTGCACGAATAATAAAGAGCAATGGGCATCTGCGCTCGGTATATTTATAAATGCACGCTGCTGTACGCGCAGTACGCACCCAAGACCCGCGATTGCGAGATGACGAACGCGTTTTGCGCTGGCCTGTAAATTCCTACGACTCCGAGAACGATCGAGTTGCGTCCAACACAGCAGCGACGGGCCATTTACCCATAAATTTGCCGCATATCGAGAAGTGCAAGCCAAAAAGTGTCGTTTACACGTGAAGCAGAATTAGCCGCTTTTATACTTTTTTTCTCGCGAGTTATATACGTACTTCAGGGGGTATAACTCGAACACATTAGAGTAGTACGCGAGAGATATCTCTCTCCAAGGCAATAAAAGGCTCTAGAGGCGTATTTGTCGTCTCATCGTCGTTGGCTTTTGCATGGAGAAAAATAAAAAAAAAATAAAAGGAAGAAAGTCGCGAATCGAGATTTTCGGTCGGCGGGAAAATTAGTGAACAACGATTTTCACGCGCGCGCCAGTAGCAGCAGTAGCAGTAAGCAGTTGTAGGCAGCAGTGAGTGCGGATTTGTCCCGAGGGTGTACTTAGAGCGTTCCGTGAAGCGATGGAGCAAGCGAAAATCCTGGAAAATATCTCCACGAGTTGCCGCCGCCGCCGACGCTGATGTTCGTCTGTATCCAGCCCCCACAGCTCGTTTTATAAACGTATATATAACGTCTCTCCTACATAGGCGAAACGAAATAGTAAGTACCTAGACGTGGGCAAAAGTATTGAGCTTAATTTCAAGGAAAAAAAGGAAGCAACGTAAGGAGACTTTGGAGAGATACCGTATAAGCGCGCAAGATATACATGTATATACGACGAATAAATAAGTAGCTGTCACAAGATTTCCACTTAATTATTTTGCGACATCTCGAGCTGAGCGAGCACCGAATTTTTTTATTCTTTTTTCTTCGTTTTCTCTCTCGCTCGACAAAACGGACACGCGACAGCGACGACGACAGCCAACCCCGTGATTGCCTTATTTTCTACTTTTCTTTTTATTCCATAGAGGTATTTTTCCACGGAGCTGCACGTTTTGGATATCATTTTCCTTTTTTCCTTTTTATTCAAATTGAATTGGAATCAGAGAGAAAGAGAAAGATACATCGAACGATCAAATAATCATTTAATGTATTGAAAAATTTAATAACCTTCACTGTAAAGGTAATAATTAAATCGTTTTTATCTTTTGTGGTGAACATTCCGAACGCATCTATTTATCGATTATAGGATACGACCGCGCGTACGAAAAATGCAATTCTGCGTACATAGTAGTTTAAATATTTCGCGTATAATAAAGCGAACGCCTACGTATAAATATAAAAGCGAATAATTTGAAACACGTTCGAAACGTGTATAATGGAGAAAAAATCGCGCGTACATCGTACGGAATCGAGTGTAATAACGCACGGCCAGATACACATAACCAATACCACGCACAGAGTAGATAAAAGTGGAGAGAAAAATGAAGAAAAAATGCACGAAAATTCGCGATTGGCCGACGAAGCTGCGTGCACATACTGTACTGCAGCTCTAGAAGAGCGCGTCACTATTGATATTCCGGGGACGTGATCGGTTTTCCTTCGGCAAGATATTCGAGTTAAAACTTGCTTCCGCGCACAGCGTGCAGGGATGTGTGTGAGTGTGTGTGAATTCAACAAATTTCAGCCTGACAATTTTGCAGAGAGAAATATAGCACCGTGTATTTGCGCGCGCTATATACACTTCTGCGGCAATCGAATTCGCCAAGTTTTCGACTTTTTTCTGGTTTCAATTTAGTTGCAGAGATTTTTCTGCAGTTTTTCATTTTGCTTCCTTTACTATTATTAATTATTTAAAAAAATGTTGTCGTTTTTTTGTCGAGATAAAATAATTTATCAGAATATTTACCCAGAATAGTGGAAAAAGTAAAATTTAAGCTTTGATTCAAGTTGAAAAATGTAAGAGTTCAAAGAATTTTTCAAAAGTTATGAGAACTGTTAAAGCATTATTACTATTATTTTTATTATACTAATACATGCATCGAAGCTTAAAGTTTTGAATTTTTATGTTTTTTACATTCGTAAATATTTATAAGTATTCGCGAGCCTTGTAGTAGATATTTTCACTTTTTTGCATTATCTAAATTCGAAAATGAAAAAGCTATTCCAAGCTTTGACCTGTAGCCGCCAAACAAATACGCCACAAGTCTTCGTTCATCAGCTTTCCCATGATTATTTCACAGCAGAGAATTGGCAGTTGGCAGTGAGTCAGTGTCAAAAAAAATTCTAGCGTCCAGCGCCGGAAAAATCTTCTGAACTGTATCTCACTCAAATGCGTAGTACACGCCTGCCAAAGCTCTGAACCAAAAATCTGATGTCTACCACTTGATCTGACCTTTAAATAGTCCTGAAGCGTGAATAATTTCTCTGCTCTTTCTGGTCGCAATTGCATCAAGTCGTAAAACGAAAGACTCGAACTCAGTATCACATTTTTTGCCCACTTAACGAACTGTTCGTCCTTGCTCAAACGTTCATCGACATTTTCTGACTTCTTGAACAATTCATACTTGGCGAATATTTTCATTATTGTTAAGACGTCACTCTGGTCAAATTCATATCCTATTTTCTGTAGGCACTGGATCGTGTCAAACATGTCGGATGTTAACTCTTTTAGAAAATGACGCCAATCCGATCCGGTCCCATACATTTTAAACTCATCAACGAAGTCACTCTCTTTAGGAAAAATGAAATTAGACAGATTGGCACCATGATCCAACAGAAAACAGATCATATCCGGCACGATATTCGCCACGGCCAATTGCAGTGGTGTCCGACCCTTCTTGTCCAGAGCGTCGATCTGTATCGGATGATATTTGTCGTTGCTAAACTCAAATAACATCTTCGCCATGGCACCGTCCCAGTTCATCTTAAAAATGTGTACAGTAGACTGTCCGTTATTTCCCGAATTGCTCCAATCCTCGCTCTCACCCCTTGAAAGTTCATCATTTGGCTCACAATGAAAGAAAATCACTGTCCGACCGCGATTAATTAACTCTAGATAGTGCCACACGCGTCAGCTTTTTTCCCATTTAAATAACATGGGAAAATTTAAAAAAAATGTAAATTGAAGTTTTAAACCACTTAAAATCGCTAAACCTTGGGTTTAGCGACGGTTTTCACTTCCTGGTACACCCATAATGAGTAACCAATACTTACGGGAACCCTCCGAAAAGAATTTTGGATTTTGCACACACGATATACTCAAAAAATGAAGAAAAACAGCATGTTGGCGTGGTTTTTCGATATTTTACAGCAAAACTAAGCATGAACGATCATTTTAAATATATTCACGTCAAAGTTGAGATCAAGACCTTTAATTTGAGGGTAATAAAACCTATTTACGTTCATTAGAACCAAAGTTACAGGCGTTTGAAGTTTCATTGAAAAATCAGGTATCGATTCTCGTCCGGCCGCCCAAACGCGCGACTCGCGGCTCGCTGTAATCGCAACTCGTACAAATGACCATGTAATTAAACTAGAAAAATAATTAAAAATATGATTTTTATGCGTTTTTTTCTCAGCTTTCACGTGGTGTAGTCGGATTTTTCGATAATTTTCATTTTCGTACGAAAAAATGGACTTGAACATTTATTTCCTATTTTTCCTAGTGAACGAGTAAATTATCGAAAAATCCGACTACACCACGTGAAAGCTGAGAAAAAAACGCATAAAAATCATATTTTTAATTATTTTTCTAGTTTAATTACATGGTCATTTGTACGAGTTGCGATTACAGCGAGCCGCGAGTCGCGCGTTTGGGCGGCCGGACGAGAATCGATACCTGATTTTTCAATGAAACTTCAAACGCCTGTAACTTTGGTTCTAATGAACGTAAATAGGTTTTATTACCCTCAAATTAAAGGTCTTGATCTCAACTTTGACGTGAATATATTTAAAATGATCGTTCATGCTTAGTTTTGCTGTAAAATATCGAAAAACCACGCCAACATGCTGTTTTTCTTCATTTTTTGAGTATATCGTGTGTGCAAAATCCAAAATTCTTTTCGGAGGGTTCCCGTAAGTATTGGTTACTCATTATGGGTGTACCAGGAAGTGAAAACCGTCGCTAAACCCAAGGTTTAGCGATTTTAAGTGATTTAAAACTTCAATTTACATTTTTTTTAAATTTTCCCATGTTATTTAAATGGGAAAAAAGCTGACGCGTGTGGCACTATCTAGAGTTAATAAGTCGCAGTCGGACAGTGATTTTCTTTCATTGTGAGCCAAATGATGAACTTTCAAGGGGTGAGAGCGAGGATTGGAGCAATTCGGGAAATAACGGACAGTCTAGTGTACAGATGTAGATCCGTCGTTGTTAGCCAAATTCGGATCGGCGCCGTGTTTCAGCAGTAACTCGACCACCTCGGGGCAGGTATTGTTCAGAGCCAAGTGTAGCGGCGAATCACCAGTTTTTTGCCACAGACAATTAGGATCCTGGCCAAGCTCGAGAAATTTTTCGACGACATTTTTGCAGTTAACCATGCAAGCCACATGAAAATGTGTGAGGCCAGACTCGTCTGTGTAATTCACGTCGAATCTGTCGTATATTTTAAAAAGCTCATTGACCACATCATCCCAGTCACCGAGCTTGTATTGAGCCGCATGATGCACTGCTGTGGTGCGAAGTAACGATGGCTTGCCGTCTTTACCAACATCGGGCTCGTCCTTGTAGCCTGTTTTGATCGCAAACTTGATGATAGAGCCATCGTTTTCATGGCTTAAGTTGACGATGTGTACATCCTCTGTAAAGAGCCAATTAATTTCTTCCGTCCGAAAAATATCACGGAAATCTGGATATTCATCGCTATTCCAAACACCGATCAAATCGTAGAATTGTTCAAGAAAATCGTATCGCTCATCTCTGTTCTCCCAATTGAACTTTTTTCGTAGACTCTTTAAGTCGACTTTGCCATGCTGATCTATTTGTTCGAAATCATTATTGTTGCTCGCTTCATAGACTTCGTTGCTCATGATTTTCCGCACAAAGAAAAATTCAGAATATACGATTTTAATACTTTTGCTCCATTCAAGATTATTTCCCATACTAAACGAACGAAAATCAACACTGGCTTCTCTTACTCATGTCTTGTCAACTTAAGTTGAGCCAAGAGCGTAACCAATAATTTGTAAACACGTATTGGCACAACACAAAATGAGATGTGCCGTGTTCGAACGCGTTCATCGACACCTGATATTATTTAGCAACCAAATATTTTATTTGTTGAACACGACACTAAAGTATAATTAAAAGAAACCATCTAAGAATTTTTCTTTCCCTTTTATTCATAAAAATAAGAATTATCTCATTTTTAGGAAAATCATCTTGCTGATGTATTGGCCGCCGTTCTTCAGACGTTCGTAAACCTCGAAGTAAAAAATGCTCGAATATCTTGAATAACACGACGACGACTAGCAGACTGGGATTTAAAAAATCATTTTTCAATTAGTACACCGCGCACGCGGTCATGACGGGGTGAAACATTAACACGAAGGTAAGACTCACGAGCATGAAAACGTATTCTCGCCAATTCACTCGCGGATATATGCGCGTGTATGTAATACGACGAAAAGCTCGTGTCAGTATACTGCAGTCGCGAAGAAATCCAAATCTCCTTAGAAAATCATCATTCAACGTCGCTAATGATGGTCACGCTTACACAGCGCTTTAAAACTCATTTTCGCGCCGTTTCGCACGATAATATATCGTCCAAGGCGCGCGAGATTCAACGACTTTCCAACTGCGCCGCTGCTCGTGGCTCCCACGCACACACGCGAGATAATCTCGCGCTAATCTCTCGACGCGTACCTTCATATACACACATCGTATAGGGAGAAAACTCGGGTGAAAAGCTTTGTCCTCGTAATTTCTCTCTGGAGTATCGAACGCGCGGTATGTGTGCCTCTATATCATATATTGGTGGCAATCAATCAATCAGGTCTGTGAGCCCGCGCGTGTCACGCACTACGTATAATAATATAATACACTCGCGCGCACACACACACATGAGCGTCCCAAGTGTAATTTCGAGCAATCGAGAAACGCTCGGTCTTCGTTGAAGCTCGTATATATAATATAACGCGACGTACACTGAGTACGAGAGAGCATCGCAGAAGGGCCGGCGCCTGTTGTCAGCTACACATACAAATTAGTATGCTGGAGCACGATGCAAAATATAATAATTTTCGGCCTGTGTGCGTATGTATAGCTGCTGCTCATGGGCGTCCGTGTGACGTTCATTGTTTTCGTTTGCGCGTGGATGGGCCACCGTGGCGGCAGCAGCAGCAGCAGTATTTTTTATTCGGTTCAGCTGAAGAATGAGACTAATAAGGCAAATTATTATCTGCGCTGCGCGTTTGTATATCGTCCATATGAAATAATTTAAGGGTGATGAATCGCTTTTGTACGTGCAGCGACAATGAAAACGATATGGATTCCTCGTTTATATGTACGTGAGATATACCGCGTGCAACAATACGTTGGGGCTGTAATGGATAATTTATTATGCCCTCCGCGAGCTAACCTCGTGTACTTCGTTAGCACGTACAGTGTTTGAGCTTTTTTATTTGAGTCAATTTGATACGCACGCAGAAAATAATTTATCGATAGAATTTCCCGGTAAAAATGATTTTTTCCAGATGTGAGAGATTAAGATGATCGTAGAGCTGTGTGCTCGCTAAATATGTTTTCTTAGAATAAGCATTATTACAAGCCATTGTAGGGTGGGAAAGTTGCATTTCTTTCAAGTGTCGCGAGAAATATCAATCGGAGTCACAAATACATTTTTACCAATATTTATTTCTGCATATAAGCAAAAGAAAATATTTTGCCATCGCACGCTTGTTCCATCGCGTTGCTTCGCATCGTATTGTTTACGTGTTATACACAAGCGAAGAACGTGCGAAACACGAGTTCTCTTTGTAACGATTTTTTATACACACATTTCGTCCACACATTCGTCCGAGTCGTAAAAAAGCTCATACTTCAGGGGGGCGCCGCCACCACTGTTTTTACGATATTGAGCGTATAGCTCGACGAAAGCGCCCGCAGGAATGACGTGTTAATTAGCCATTGACGTTGGACGATTTTTCGGCTAATGCCCGCGTTTCAACACTTCGATAGAAAAATGTCACGATATAGCGCGACCTCCGTTTACGGTCGTTCGCACGGAAATTAATTTCCGATTATAAAAACAACGATCGCGGTTGTCTCGCAATCGCGCACTTGAAGGTAAAATACGTAATACGGCACGTTTCAGCGATCTGGTATGCCCAAAATCTCTTGAGCTGTCATATATCGAGCTTCTCGATTTCAAGTGTTAGTGTTTCTTAATGTACATAAATATATATGATATAAATCGTCGCGTGCTTGCAGACACATTAGCCCATCGTCTTGTTCGTCTCTCGTCAACTAAACGATCCATTCCACACGCGTGTGCGGAACCGTTAACCATACATCCGCGTCGCGCGAGAGGTCCCCAACGACGAGGCTTGGAACCGATCTCGTCTCGACGCGCAGGTGTTCGTATCTCACGTATTATACGTATGGCTATTTGAGCGCGAACGTGCGCCTGAGTACACCGCGTGTTTGTTCAGCTAATTTTTTTCAAGAAATCATTTTAATAATATGTAGCAAAATCAATATTTTCAAAGCAAATTTCCTTGGCTCGGTAATGAAAATAAAATAAAGAAAAAACCGCACGAGCTCGAGTAAATGTCATTTATGAATCTGCCCGAGAGAAATCCTATCGACCTTCAAAAGCGCACGTCCAGAGAGCCCCGAGAGCCATCTAAGTGTACGTACAAGGCACAAGGTATATACAGGCACGTAAGCGCGCGATGCAAAAAAGGAGCAAAAAAAAACAAGCCGCGCGCAGCATCTCTCTCCCGTAGAAGCAGATGGTGGTGCTTATACGTACACTCGTGCACACACACACACACACGACCCATACCATTATTTCCCCTTTCTTTTTTTTTATCGTCCCGTACGGAGGCGTGAAACAATAGCTGGTTTTATTGGCCGCCATGCAGCAGCAGCCCGCAAAAGTCCCATATAGTTATATCTTGCGCGCAGACTTGTATACAGAGTGCAGAGCTTCGTGTTCGGTAGGCTCTTCCGGACTCGCACGACTACGGCTGCTGCAGGGAGGAAAAATACTAGAGGAGAGAAAGAGAGGCAGGCCTCGGAGGGAAGGAGGGAGAGTCTAGAGAGAAGCTCGCGCATATAGCACACTACTGCACACCTCTATAAGCCTTTATTGCGACCGGTTTTGTTTGTATTACTTTGCGCGAGCGGCCGCCGGCGGCGATGTTTTACTTGCGGTCTAATATCGACTTTTCCATACACGGGCGAGCGCGCGACGATTTCGAGTCGTTTAACTTTATTCGTTGCACACAGACACACACATTTATACACTGAGTACAGCAGAATTTCGACGAATTTGTTCGATATCGAGGATACGACTCTCGGGGCTACATAGACTCTCGGCGTAACATGGTTACGCACGCGGCGCACTTTTTTTCTGTTTTGTCTCGTCGCGACAGTCTCGACGCTTTTTAACATGCAAAATATACATACAGCGCGACGCATTCGTGTTATTATACGGCGTATACAATACAATAAATTTCATTCCGCGAGTCATTACTTTTAATGGATATTAGAATTCCTCAAATTGTTCGAGTGGGATCATTGCGTATTTATACGCGGTGAAATTTGATATCGTGCGCGGGCTGCTGCTGCTGTTTTTTTTTCTTTTTTAACTCGAGCTTCTCAGGCATTTTCACGAACGATCTTCGCGCTTCCAGGAAAACTCGCGAGAGATTTTTACGACGCCCGCGCGCAAAGCAACTCTTTCAAGGAGTGGGTCTAGTCCTACGACTCGTCATATTTTTCACGATCTATAACTTTTCGTTATTTCACGAACCGGATGATTAATTAATCGATTGACAGTTATGGCGAGATCGCGGCTTAGCAAAAATGCGTAATTGTAAAAAGTGTATAATTTCGCAATAACGTGCGTGTTGCGTACATCAAGTCAAAAGAGAGAATTTTCGTTGAAAGAGAGACCTAATACACCAGGGAGGCTTTTTACAAGCTCTTAATAGTCTGAAACAGACACACGACGAAGAACAAAGTAGGCTCATTTGACGTCTGTCAAGGGGCGGGCGGGGGAAAAAAGGTACTTATGCCAGGGGGCGATTCGGCAGCTCTCATCCCCTGACAAGGCACTTTCCGCGCGCGTATTATTATGTACACATACACACTAACAGACATGCAGACAGAGAGACGCGGGGAACAATGTGCGCGAATACCGATGATATGATACATCCAGGTCCGATCGACACGACGGGCGTATACAATTAGCGGTTTATTAGGTCGTTATTTACGACTGGGTTTATGGCCGAAACTCGGGTGTGTGTCCGGAGTAGAGCTGAGCGCAAAAGCACAACGAGGCCGAGGCATATGTGCACGTATACCTATATAGGTACGTATGAGCGTAGCCCTCCCCTGCCCCCCCCCCNCCCCCCCCCCTCCCCCTTCACTCTCTTATACGCAGTGCTCGTACATACACTTCGGCGTGCCTTTCAGGGATTTATGAGGCCCGCGGGGTATATATCTATACGCGCCCAGACTCGCCATTTATACCGCCGTACGCGCGAATACACGTACGTACATAGTACATACGCATCGTGCTATACAGTACGTGCGTCGGCCTTTTTCGACAATGTATAACGCATACAGATAGCTGTCCGCATGGGAGTTCGGGGCTTGTATTTTCCAGCAAAAATATATATCGTATTATGTATGGTATATACGCGCGACGCGCCGCCCGATGAGTGTTTGTCAAAATGTACAAACGAGCTGCTACCGCTGCTGCTGACCCTGCGTGTAAAAATGAATTTGAACAAATTTGATACAGGCCATTAGTAAAACAAAAAACAGAGCATAGGCGCCGGATGATGGCAGGCTTTTTCAACAACTTGTATTATCTGTAATTTCGACTGCGCCCGCAACGCGTGAGAAGTTTGGGTGTTGTTTCATCGCGTTTTGACGTTATTATTATACTTTTATTCGCACGAGAATAATATTTTTCGATAAAAATCATGGACGCAGCGTATATAATCGAGCGTAAAAGAGAGCTCGAGGCG